TCAGAAACAAGAAATTCGATGGCATATCATCTCTTAAACAGACGAACTGTTCAATACTTGACCAATTTACATCAGCAGTTTATCAACTCGTCATTGATTCTCACGATAAAATCTATTACAGCTATTTCCGCGGTATCTTCGACAACATTTCTGGTATCATACGCTATATATTCGATTGGAAAATCACTCGATTCAATATTGTAATAAAATACACGCGTCATGACGAATATTCTCAAACTAAAAGATTGAAAGCGGACGATTCGATAACATTAAAGAATTACATCATAGGTATTCTATTCGGATTAAGACTAGCATGTTTTCGAATGTTTATCATTGCACCATTCATGTTTCTGATCGAACCTATACAAAAATCTGTTTGGATACTAAAAACTTTATTGAGCATTGAACAACCCTACGACCGTATTTTATTATATACGCGTGCGGAGTACGCTACATTGACGACAGGTACTATATCGGTTGTGCATGATTCGAGAATAGTCGATACAGGTGTTACAATTAGTGATGCGTATGGTACGAATAAGCAAATAAGTAATATCATCGGTGTTCTACGTTTATTGGCTACATTCATGATCCAAGGAATCGTTTGGTTTAGTTGGATTATAGTTATTACTGATGTGGCGAGCGTATTTATCGAATCGATCTCTTTAGAATCTATGTACATTATGCAAAGATTGTATATAATATGTTTATCATGTGTTTTTGTGATCATCTTCGTACTGAATACGTGGACTACTATCCGACGTTATTTACTATTAGATACCTGCGAAAATGCACAATACTTAGCCACTGTTCGAGTAAATCAAGGAACAAGAGCGAATTATTTATCGATATTGACTTATATTACCATTGGTATTATATTCAACATCACTTTCACGGTGTTCGAACTTGAACGTGCGCAATGGTTCCATATTACGCCATTTGCAATCATCTTCGATAGTCAACCAGTGCACTTAACTTCGATTCAGTTGGTCATACTTATAATCGCTCAAGGTATGGCCATCGCTCTGATCGATGTTATCAATCGGAGTGCACTTGGCAAAGGACGTCTTCCTGATGATGAACTGTCGAACCAAAATATGATTGGTAGGAAAGAATGGTTAAATTTTCCAGTAGGTACAATTTGTTCATTGTTACGATTTAAGAACGACAAAAGAAAAACAGATTGAGAAGAGTTTTTTTTACAACTTTGGAAAGTTTTCTGTCTGTAGCACAGATTTTTGTTTTTCTATGAGTTTCGCGAAAATATTTCTAAAATAAAGAGAAAACTACAAGCAGTCGATGACTTTTCCTAAAAGAACGATGTTCACGACTTTCATGACTTCTTTCTTTGAAATATTCGAAGTTCGATATTATCGATTAGGCATAATCCAGTTTTATCAGTAGAATAGTAATGAAGATCTAAATAGACAAATCGTGTTAATTTTGGAATGGTTTCGTTGTTAGCAATAACGCGTGGAGCAGTTTTTGTTGAAATCGCTAAAAAGAGGAGATTCACTGTGAAAACATCAGATATACACTTTTATTTCGATATAATAACCTGCGTACTGCTCATGTGGAATGGCAAAATCTGAGAAAAAGTTCACTAGTACTGATATATTCGAATGATTTCCTTGTAAACATCCAATAAAACACGATAAATTATACCAAGCAAGATCGCTATCGATCAATGTCGAGAATTTCTGTAAATCAATCGTTTGCACTGAAGATGCTTCATTTGCCGATTGGCCAATAAAATAACAACTGCTGCTATTCAACGATGAACTCACTGGTATTGAAGAGATTTCAAGTGTTGATAAACTTCCACTTGAAAGCCATATGTTTTCACTTCTGTTAGATTGACACTACAATATTTGACATAGTTTTGATTTATCAGTAAACATTTCTTACATTTTTTTGTGCATGTCCGTCGATGACTAGATCAGATGAATCGATTTGAAGAAACACACCATTTGGTAAACGCGCATTTAGAATGGTGATGCTACTGTCGATGATATGTCCGTTCAAGTCAACATATTTGTCGTCAAATGTAGCATAACTATTGAGTAGATCTGCATTGGTAAAATCGACCGTTCCGGGAATATAAACATTACTTATGTAATGCATTCGACTTAGATTAGACCCGGAAAAGTTATTTCCATGTGAAAAAACATTCTGGATTGTGCTGAATGGAGCGTAAACGCGTTTAAAACTCGTATTTGTCAAAGCGGTATTTGATATGGTCAGTGATGGTATATACGAGTTGTCAAGAATAGCACTTGTTAACTGACACCATTGAAAAACAAGATTCGTTGCTTTTATATTTGCGAGAGAGATATAACTGAGATTCAGAGGTCGCCCAAATGAGCCATTGAAGATGACATTGCTCAGATCTATACCAGTTAAATCGAGTCTTTCATTTGGATTCAAGTCCGATCGTAATAAACGAGTTTCGTAGAGATATAAGATGATATTAGATTTTTTCGACGGATCAAGCACAGAAAAGGCGTATAGGGTTTTGGCTCGGATTTCTAATAAACGCCGATGATGGTCGGTCGAATTGGAAGCTTTTTCGAATAGAATATTGGAGATATCGTTGATATAATTTTGATAGGTTAATCGAAGGTTTTCTCGATGATGTTCTTCTCGATCTTGTTTGCGAATGAACTCTTGAAAACTGTTTTGTTGTAATGTTATTATAACAGTCAAAATGCCGAAGACTATGGACGGAAGTGCAATTAAGATCAGTTTGGAAATTCCCATCCACTGAATTTTTTTATTGAATGATATCCTTGTCATTTCCACTGTAATCGACTACCGTATTCTTAAACAAGAATCAAATGTTGTCGATATGCATGGTACGCAAGGTTTAATAAACTTATCTCGAGCAAACAATCAATATTTGAGTAAAGAAAACATAGCATAGTGTTCAATCGATTCTCTGATTATTAATAGTTCACTTTTCTTCGTTCGATGTGGAGGAATAGCTTGGTGCAAATGTTGTTCAAATACAACCATCATAGACGGATATATCAAATATTTCGTTCGTTCTTGTTCGTAATGCAATCACCCAGTTTTCAATTTGACCAGGAAAGCGCACTTTAATGGAACAGTCTAGCAACAGTTGTAGTGTCTGCGGGTAGATAATAGGATGAGCTGAAAATTTGAATTGCTCCTCTTTTTCAACATTCACAACATGACCTAAACTGAGTCGAACGCAGATAATGGCTGTAGATTCTGACGCCTCAATAGTGTTCTATTTCTCCACAATGCGTGTAAAACGAATGTGATCAGATACTTTTCTACGTTGATCGACAGGAAAACCGTTTTGAGCAATATTAACTGCTTGATCATTGGTAGTTACATGATAGGCAATGATTCTTTCATTATCTTGTATAGGTACCATGGATTTGTTCGATACTGCGCGAAATGGATGATATAGTAGAACGTGATGGAGACTTTTGGATGGACAAGTAATTACATCTGTACATCTCGAAACCTGCCATCCACTGTCACGTTCTTCATTGACTAGTTTATCTTGAATAAATCGTAGATGAGCTCGATCTCGCCTACGTCTGGACGAAAGTTCCAAAGAAGATGAAAGTGTAACCATTCAATAACCAGTGTAAGAAAGGATGCAACCAAGGCAAGACTAGAAATAACAGTGTAAGGAGCACAAAGTGGATTATATGTTGTAGCACACGATGCACCAAGTATGAAAGCAATGAAACGAATGATGAAACAGCACATAAGAATGACCACTCGAGTAAATTGCCATACCTTGTGGATGTTCTTGATAGCATCTGCATCGAAAGCAAGTCAACGTTCCTATCGACAGAGCTGTGCGACGTCTACCGGCATACATGATGATCATCATCACGGAAAAGTTCTCTTTCAAAGCAACGTGCAAGGCAATAAACGATGTCCGCGAAGAAGAATCGGTACCAAGTAACTGGTACTACTTGATTTTTCTTTAATGTTGGATAAACCGATACAAACAAGGAGAAATCGAATAGTACAAGTTATTGCATCACTAACATGAAGACAAATCAATGCTTTGTACCGGGTTCAATGATTATGACAATTAATTATTAGGCTTTTAACGACCTTTATACATGCTGGCATGCATTATTGACTGAGGAAGCAAAACACATAAAATTAACGATCCGATCGAAAGAGACAGCCAAGTTATCCGATAGATTAGTGGATCCAATGCATTCGAAGATGTCCAAAAGAGAACTAGATATACAATAGTTGGAATGTTCATGAGACTCAATAGGCAAATCATGATTATAACACGATGAGTGGCTTTCACGTCTTTGCGATTGCGTAAAAACGGTAATTGCTTCGACGAGCGATGTCTAATCGTTCGGGTAATTTTAAAATAACACGCCGAGATGATCATTATCGGTATCCAAACTTCTGCAACGGAAGCATAAACTACGGCGAAGAATTTGTCAAACTGAACTCCGCAATATGTTTCGATTGGTAGCAATGGATGAATTGCATTCAAACCGATTATAAGAGGAATAACAATAGCGAATGAGATCATCCATTGAAGAGGAATAAACATAAAGAGATAGATTTTGATGTAATTAATCCATGGATTCATTGGATAAACGACGCGAATGAATCGAAAGAAGACTTGCAGAGCGTAACTCCAAAAAACGCTGCAAATCACCGAAAAGAATACATAACCACAGAAGCGACAAGCCGGTGAATCATTTCTCCATCGAAATGAGTTCATATTCAAATCCGAGCATAATGTCGAGACGTTAACATGAAGAAATAAGACGATAAACATCAATATAAAAGCACACAGTGTATTCAATGTTAAATGCAGCGCAATGCGTTCATTCGATCCGATATGCATAGTCACCAAGCGATAGACAATTAGAATAAACAGAACTAGACTGATAGTCAGTGCTAATAGGACAATAACAGCAGAAACAATATTGATTGATATAGCTAAAGTTGTCGTTGAATTGGACATCGTGTGTAACTCCAATATTGAATTTGGATATTGGTAGAAAGTAAGTTAAATTCACATAATTTATTCAACGACGAGCGACCTCGTCATTTATGTTCTGAAGCGTAAATGTTTGTGTAATGGGAAAAGCTGACAATAGATTAGTCGACAGGAAAATGACACGAAGCAAGAATATATTATTAAATCTCTCTTCTTCTTTTCTCGCCAACAAGCAACTTTCTGCCTATTTTCTCCACATGCTTCAAATCGAGTGGAGTCGTTCACTTGATCGCAAAAGAGAATATACACGTATATGATTACGCTTAACAAAAACGATCCGACAAATCGAGTGCCAAGAGAATGAGTTAACGCATTCGAATAAGATTATTACGCTTATATTTCCATACAACCATCATCTCACTGACAGACCTTGTCTTTCTTTTTATACTCCTAGCTGTTCTGTTAAGTGGCTTGCTTTTCTTCTCGCTCTATAATTTCATCAACAGATAATTCCTCTCTAAGAGAGAATCTCTCTTTTGAAACGAAGAGCACTTCTAACGACGTAAAAAATACGGAATAAACCTTATACAGGAAATGTTCATTTCCCAATAATTATGACAACCAAATAATCCAGGTGGCATCGATTCGCGAAAAGAAATTATATTTGAAGCGTGTAGGCAAATACAGCTATAATTTTCTTTCTTACAATTGCGCACCGAATGAAAGCGTCTGTCATCGCTTTCAATTTAGAATGACAGCATTATGAATATTTATACTATGGTTCTAAAAAGCTCAAATGAATGATACTTCATCGATTTCCGACTGGAAATCGTCATGAGTTGAATTACAAAATATTGTAGAAGTATGTCATATAGTTCTTTTTTTTTCATGCATCAGAATAGAACACAAAATGAAGTTCTCAAGACAGTTTAAAACGCTGATTGATAATCTGGTTTCATAGGCTTTGTTTCGTAAGGTGGTGCTGAATAAGGTGTTTGCATTACGATTCTAGGTTGCGTTGATATTTTGTGAGGCATTGCTGCTTGAGGGATCATTGCCAACGCATTATGAAAGGATTGGCGAGAAAATGTAAATACTTCTGAACCGAAAGGGCCTGTCAAAGTGAGAGGCATACCATTTCTGGTCGGATTCACTCTTGTGCTGATGCTGCTGATGTCAGATAGGAAGAGCATTGAATCGATATAACCCTGCGAACAGCAACCGCAGCATGAGTCTGCTCGTCGTTGGATAATTCTTTCATTAGTTAGTGCAACTGTATACTTCGATCCACAGCCACAACGACGGTCATCGCATTCATAAATATTGGAAATTCTCTCTTGAGGCGCGAGAGCGAAGACAGTGTTGAAAGTATCCGGCTGTTCGGTGATATATCGAGACGGATTGTTTGTCCTGTTAATACAATGCGGTACGTGAATATATCATAATACGTTTTAGCATAACATGAAGTGTTTTCTCTCGTCTCTCTACTTGACACTTAGTACTTTCGAATATTTTATTGTCCTCGGATATGAGTGAAACTATTCTGAAACGTTAATGTTCCTAAGATTATCTTCGGTAGCAAAACGAACGGTTTTCTTTAGAACAAACTGTCTGAGACTGTATTTCACCAATTGTAATACTCACATTTTGTAGTCGATTACTTGTCAAAGACTTCGAACTTCAACATCCTATTTATATGTATGCGTCTAGGAAGAAGAGAAAAACACAAGTTTATTACCTACTATCTCCATAAAGTATGTCGTTTGTTTTCGTTTTATAGACAAATAATTGGTCAAGTATATTTCAAGAAACGATATATCGGAAGTACTCAATTTTCGGATTAGTCTAATTAATCAAGAGAAATAGGATAACAATTAGTGTCGTGAATTTCTCTTCAGTTTTTACATAGACAATATTTACTTCGTGCATGAAGTAAGAAAAGATGTTGAAATCACGTTTATGATCATTTATTGTGCAAGTATCATATATGAGAAAGAGATCGTATTTGTTTCATGTCGTACTCACAGTTGTGCGCCTGAAATATCAAGAGTAGTGCCGAGCATCAAACAATAGTCCGATGCGTCATTGTATATCTGTAGCGTTCTATGCAAGACTTCTGTATTTAATGGAAAAGACTGTGTTGACATTTATTGCAATAAGAAAAGAGAATGTTACAAACTCCACGCTCCGGACCCTGCATTGACTTTGCCCATGATATTCTTCGTTTTCCATCCACCATAAAAATCGCCTGGCTGTGCTTCAACTTTCTCGTCGTTAACATAACAATCCCACGGTCCGACATAAAAACTAAAATAACCTTTGACACCAATATATTTTTCATCACTTCCAGTCGGATTTTCATATGACCATATTCGTGCCTTTACAATCGGTTGATTATCCGGCAGAATGAAATCATAATATGATGCTAAACCTTTATATCCGCAGTACGATGTCTTGTCATTGCGATTGAGATACTCTTGTTTGACATCTTCTGGAGGAATATAGTACGTCGGAGGATGGCCGGTTTCTATGATACGCATTGCTCGGGTAGTGTCCGCTAGTACGATTTGATTGAAGATGACTCGAAGACGTGCTTGAACAGGTTCAATTTCTGGTGGACGTGGATAATCCCAGACATTTTCTAGGGGAAGATTACTTGCCATGGTTGTAACTCAGAAGAAGAAAATTTGAATTCAGAGAAGTAGTGTCTTTGACTTTAGCTTCAAAAGGATGTTAATGATGGAAAAGTCGTTTTTTCATAACTACGCATTTTTTTTTCTAACTCTTTTTAGTACGTGACATATTATTTTCTCACTTCGATTCACTCTAGCAATTAGTCTCTGATAGAAAGAAAGAATATATTATCAAGGTTGGTTATTTTTAAAGTATCGTATCAGTAATAAAAGAGAATAGCTCAGTGGGGATCTTTAACATAAAACCATTAATATATTATTACTGTATCCACATAGCATATCAGCAATCAAAATAATAAACATCTTAAAAATAAGGTTTTATGAAAATTGCAGTGTGAATCAAGCTTTTATGCTTTGAGAGTTTCTGCAACGACCGTTAACTATATAGAACTTGCCCAACACGTTTCTTTACACCAAGGTTTGCAACTTCTATTCGTTGTCGACCAAATTCATGAGAACATCGATCGTAAGAGGATTGGCATCGCATAAGCAACGAAGTCATCATTGATCTTGTCTTGTCTTATCCCAACAGCATTCAACTTTATGATTGGTTTATCTTCGCAGCAAACCATTCTGGCTTTGTTGCTGAATTGAAATAGTCTTGTAAATCTTTCTCAGGTTATATAGAATAGCGAAATCTTCAACAAACATTTCTCACAAAGTTGAGATAATGCATCAATATCAGATAAATTCGTTCGACGGAGAATGAACTGACTGTCTGTGTACGTCCCCTAGTGAATAAGAAAATTGTGTGATGGTTTCTGCACGCTTCGAACATGAGAAAAAGGAATTTTCGTTTTTATCAGTATTTATTTAAAACGGAATCCAAACAAAAAAGGATATAGGTTTATCATTGGTCGACTTTGTTTTCTGTCGTACTATTTGAAACGACCGTTTCTACATTATCTTGAATTCTTTCGTCAAAAAAGTGCTTTTGCATGTAACGACCAAAACCTACAAGGAAGAAGACATTATTCTCATCTTGTTGTAGCGATTGATCTTGACGATATTGTAGAAATTTTAATAGGCGCGGTCCACGTTGTTTACTTCTATGTGAACGACAGCATGTCATACGATTAACGATCAAACGTAATTGGGCACGAAGGATTTCGTAGTCTGAGACGAGATTATACATCATCTTATGACGCCAAACAATGCTTTGATCTTTTAACGAAGGGATTTCACCCACAGCGATACCTATATAGAAAATATAGAGAGCGATTGAATCTTTTTTGATAAACGCAAGCTTACTGATCATTAGATTCACCACGAAAATACAAAAGACAATACCAGTAATTAGAAACATGAAATAAAGTATGGTATAATATCCAACATCATTAGGATCCTGATTATAAAGTCGATCTTCATATCCGAGATCGAACATCATTAAACTCGTACGAATCAACGCCTCTATTGGCGTCTTGTATACCGACTGATTTTGTAGCAACATCCAATAGCTAAAACCAAATNGATAGGTCATCGGAATTGTACAAATATCGAAGTTATACGTGGGAAAGCATGAGAAAACCACCTTTTCAATCGAAAATTCAAGATTTGTTAATTGAAGATATCAGAAACAAGAAATTCGATGGCATATCATCTCTTAAACAGACGAACTGTTCAATACTTGACCAATTTACATCAGCAGTTTATCAACTCGTCATTGATTCTCACGATAAAATCTATTACAGTTATTTCCGCGGTATCTTCGACAATATTTCTGGTATCATACGCTATATATTCGATTGGAAAATCACTCGATTCAATATTGTAATAAAATACACGCGTCATGACGAATATTCTCAAGTTAAAAGATTGAAAGCGGACAATTCGATAACATTAAAGAATTACATCATAGGTATTCTATTTGGGTTAAGACTAGCATGTTTTCGAATGTTTATCATAGCACCATTCATGTTCCTGATCGAACCTATACAAAAATCTGTCTGGATACTAAAAACTTTATTGAATATTGAACAACCCTACGACCGTATTTTATTATACACGCGTGCGGAGTACGCTACATTGACGACAGGTAATATATCGGTTGTGCATGATTCAAGAATAGTCGATACAGGTGTTACAATCAGTGATGCATATGGTACGAATAGGCAAATAAGTAATATCATCGGTGTTTTACGTTTATTGGCTACATTCATGATTCAAGGAATCGTTTGGTTTAGTTGGATTATAGTTATCACTGATGTGGCGAGCGTATTTACCGAATCGATCTCTTTAGAATCTATGTACATTATGCAAAGATTGTATATAATATGTTTATCATGTGTTTTTGTGATTATCTCCGTACTGAATACGTGGACTACTATTCGACGTTATTTACTGTTAGATACCTGTGAAAATGCACAATACTTAGCCACTGTTCGAGCAAATCAAGGAACAAGAGCAAATTACTTATCGATATTGGCTTATATTACCATTGGTGTTATATTCAATATCACTTTTACGGTGTTCGAACTTGAACGTGCGCAATGGTTCCATATTACACCATTTGCAATCATCTTCGATAGTCAACCAGTGCACTTAACTTCGATTCAGTTGGTCATACTTATAATCGCTCAAGGTATGGCCATCGCTCTGATTGATGTTATCGATCGGAGTGCACTTGGCAAAGAACGCCTTCCTGATGATGAACTGTCGAACCGAAATATGATTGGTAGGAAAGAATGGTTAAATTTTCCAGTAGGTACCATTTGTTCATTGTTACGATTTAAGAACGACAAAAGAAAAACAGATTGAGAAGATTTTTTTTACAACTTTGGAAAGTTTTCTGTCTGTATCATCGATTTTTGTTTTTCTATGAGTTTCGCGAAAATATTTCTAAAATAAAGAGACAACTACAAGCAATCGATGACTTTTCCTAAAAGAACGATGTTCATGACTTCTTTGCTTGAAATATTCGAAATTCGATACTATCGACTAAGCATAATCCATTTTTATCAGTAGAATAGTAATGAAGATCTAAATGGACAAATCGTGTTAATTTTGGAATGGTATCGTGGTCAGCAATAATGCATGGAGCAGTTTTTGTTGAAATCGCTAAAAAGAGGAGATCCATTGTGAAAGTATCAGTTATACGCTTTGATTTCGATATAATAACCTGCATACTGTTGATGTGGAATGGCAAAATCTGAGAAAAAATTCAATAGTACTGAGATATTCGAATTATTTCCTTGTAAACATCCAATAAAACACGATAAATTATACCAAGCAAGATCGCTATCGATCAATGTCGAGAATTTCTGTAAGTCAATCGTTTGCATTGAAGATGCTTCATTTGCCGATTGGCCAATAAAATAGCAACTGCTGCTATTCAACGATGAATTCACTGGTATTGAAGAGATTTCAAGTGTTGATAAACTTCCACTTGAAAGCCATATGTTTTCACTTCTGTTAGATTGACACTACAATATTTGACATAGTTTTGATTTATCAGTAAACATTTCTTACATTTTGCTGTGCATGTCCATCGATGACTAGATCAGATGAATCGATTTGAAGAAACACGCCATTTGGTAAACGCGCATTTAGAATGGTGATGCTGCTGTCGATGATATGCTTGTTCAAGTCAACATATTTGTCGTCAAATGTAACATAACTATTGAGTAAATCTGTATTGGTAAAATCGACCGTTCCGGGAATATAAACATTACTTATATAATGCATTCGACTTAGATTAGACCCGGAAAAGTTATTTCTATGTGAAAGAACATTATGCATTCTGCTGAATGGAGCGTAAACGCGTTTAAAACTCGTATTTGTTAAAGCGGTATTTGATATGGCCAGTGATGGCATATACGAGTTGTCAAGAATAGCATTTGTTAACTGACACCATTGAAAAACAAGATTCGTTGCTTTTATATTTGCGAGAGAGATATAACTGAGATTCAGAGGTCGACCAAATGAGCCATTGAAGATGACATTGCTCAGATCTATACCAGTTAAATCGAGTCTTTCATTTGGATTCGAGTCCGATCTTAATAAACGAGTTTCGTAGAGATATAAGATGATATTAGATTTTTTCGACGGATCAAGCAATGAAAAGGCGTAGAGAGTTTTGGCTCGGATTTCTAATAAACGCCGATGATGGTCGGTCGAATTGGAAGCTTTTTCGAATAGAACATTGGAGATATCATTGATATAATTTTGATAGGTTAATCGAAGGTTTTCTCGATGGTGTTCTTCTCGATCTTGTTTGCGAATGAACTCTTGAAAACTGTTTTGTCGTAATGTTATTATAACAGTCAAAATGCCGAAGACTATGGACGGAAGTGCAATTAAGATCAGTTTGGAAATTCCCATCCACTGAATTTTTTTAATGAATGATGTCTTTGCCATTTCTACTGTAATCGACTACCGTATTCTTAAACAAGAATCAAATGTTGTCGATATATATGGTACGCAAAATTTAATAAACTTATCTCGAGTAAACAATCAATATTTGAGTAAAGAAAACATAGCATAGTGTTCAATCGATTCTCTGATTATTAATAGTCCACTTTTCTTCTTTCGATGTGAAGGAATAGCTCGGTGCAAATGTTGTTCAAATACAACCATCATAGGCGGATATATCAAATATTTCGTTCGTTCTTGTTCGTAATGCAATCACCCAGTTTTCAATTTCATCAGGAAAGTTCACTTTAAGGGAACCGTCTAGCAACAGTTGTAGCATCTGTGGATAGATATTAGAATGAGCTGAAAATTTGAATGTGTCCTCACTTTCAACATTCACAACATGACCTAGATTGAGTCGAGCGCAGATAATGGCTGTAGACTCTGACGCTTCAGTAGTGTTCCATTTCTCCACAATGCGCGTAAAACGAATGTGATCAGATACTTTTCTACGTTGATCGACAGGAAAACCGTTTTGAGCAATATCGACTGCTTGATCGTTGGTAGTTGCATGATAGGCAATGATTCTTTCATTATCTTGTATAGGTACCATGGTTTTCTTCGATAGCGCGCGAAACGAATGATATAGTAGAGCGTGATGGAGACTTTTGGATTGATAAGTAATTGCATTAGTACATCTCGAAACTTGCCATCCACTTTCACATTCTTCATTAACTAATTTATCTGGAATAAATCGTAGATGAGATCGATCTCGCCTACGTCTGGACGAAAGTTCCAAAGAAGATGAAAGTGTAAGAAACGATGCAAGCAAGGCAAGACTAGAAATAACAGTGTAAGGAACACAAAATAGATTATATGTTGTAGCACCCGATGCACTAAGTATGAAAGCAATGAAACGAATGATGAAACAGCACATAAGAATGATCACTCGAGTAAATTGACATACCCAGTGGATGTTCTTGACAGCATTTGCATCGAAAGCAAGCCAACGTTCCTATCGACAGAGCTGTGCAACGTCCACAGCATACATGATGATCATCATCATGGAAAAGTTCTCTTTCAAAGCAAGGTGCAAGGCAATAAACGATGTCGGCGAAGAACAATGTTAAGGATCCACACAACTCTAGAAGAAGAATCGGTACTAAGTAACTGATACTGCTTGGTTTTTCTTTCATGTTGGATAAATCGAATAGTCCAAGTTATCGCATCACTAACAAGAAGACAAATCAATGCTTTGTATCGAGTTCGATGATCATGACAATTAATCGGTTTGCGTAGAAAATTTGTCATAGGACAGACGTATCTATCCAGCAAAAGTTTTTTTCTATAAATATATAAGTTGCACCACTACACATCAACACACGCTGCTTCTTTTTCTTGTCTTCTCAAACTATAAGAAAAAGCATAGTGCTGCTCTTATCAGCAACGTTGGTTTCTTTTTTAGCCGATGTGTAAAGCTAATTTTCATTTCACAGTCGTCGTGGACTGAAACCAATGCATTCAGATGATGTTGAAGTAAAATATACTCGTTTCAATGTCAGCGATGACAAAAGACGATATAAATGGATGGTTCGTTTCGTTATTCTATGCACTGATCTGTCCGCTGTGTCGACTTCAACCGTCATACAGCACAATATAAAAAAGTCTCTTGGCTTGTACTTGCTTCTTCGAGATAGTTGATGGACTGTCTGTGTTAGTTGCCAGCATTTTGTACTGCTGACTCCAGTAGGAATTCTCAGTGGTTGTGCACTTTGTCGATTTATCGTATTTTATACTCGGTGCAGTCGTTGCATATCGTTATCCACCGCGGACAATGACGTATACTGTATTTGCTGCATTGTCCTTTGTGCCATCTACCTTCATCATCGTCGCTTGTGGTATTATTTTTCAGACGGTCAGCCATTGCGAACACGATCCCGTAAACATGTGCAATTTATGCCATATTTACTCGATTATCAATGATCAACGCACGAGTAGCTGGCGCTCATCGTTGTGCAAACGATCACAACCTTGCACTTCATGTAGTTTATATCATATTTTACTGTATCATTCTGGCTCTACTCAATTCCGCTGTGTGTATTAAGCACACAGAATTCAAAGCCAACCACCGAGGTGCTTATATATGCGCTAAAGTGAATGTTGGCGATGTACGTCGAACTACTCGTCGATATCATCCAAGTGATATGAATACCATATGTGACGCAGTTTATTTTGAACATCCTTATGGAGGTGACGAGTATTGTGTTCGCGATGCCAATTACATTGAACAATGGATTGTTGTCGTGAATCAAGATGATAGTGTTCTGCAAGCTGCTTCTAGTGAGCGTAATAATTTAACTGATCGTTTCTGCGGTGAGACTTATGTCGGGTGTACTTATTAAAAGGAAGACAATTGTAAGAAACAATGCGACCGACCACATACGTACCTTGTTCGGATTAAATCATGCAACAACATTCGTTTGAATAGTTCACAAAGCACGGTTCATATAGATGAGTAAAAAAGTAGACGTGTGATCTTTACGAGAGTTGGATAGGAGCTTGAGAAAAAGCGGGATAATTCACAACGTGGCTAATACTTTGGACTAACATAGTAGATAAACTATATAGATTTGTACCTGTAGTGTCAACGACGAACTCATTGTGAAAGACGAATTATATTTTTGTTCAGAAGCGAAATACGATCACGATGCATCAAATATATTAATCAAACATAATCTAAAACTCGAACAATGGACGATATCCAAAGACAAAAACAAGTATTCTATTCCAATCACAATACACGCATATTCTTTAGTAAAATTCTTACAGTGTCAATTTTTGGCTATCAAAGAAATAAGAACTTCTTTAGTCAAGGAGATATACATCCCATATCATTTTTAAAAAGTACATTATCAAGTACAAAACATTATACGCACTTGATTTTCTGCACGTAAATACATACGTATGACCAGTTCGATGACGATAGTACATTCAATATTAGTTCTGATGAATAACGAAACGATGCGAGTTACCCCACACTTCAATCTTCCACACATACAAAGACAGGCGTTCTACTTTTTGAACTGGATATTATTTTTCACATACATCAACGATGCGTTTCTTTTTATACACCTTTGTATTGTTCATTTCACTGATACATGGAATTGAAGTCGACGTTAGACAAGGTCGTTGTAAGATAGATGCATCGAGGAACTGCTTCTTAATGCCACAAGTAACCGAAGGACTTTACTATTTGAATGCAACATACAATCAACCAAATATAGTGTAAATTGCTTTGATATGCAAGAAAAAAACTGCTGCATGAACTTTATTTTTAGGAAAGATCGTCCAGGGGTCGAGTGACGTTATGTATAAAAGTAATAGAAGTTGGCACCTGTCAGCCAATATCAAGGGCAGCTGTTGATATTTGGCACTGTGATGCCATAGAACTCTATTCACATTTTGTCAATGTTTCACTCGGTGGACGACCTCAAAATACCGATAATTCAACAGTTCTACGTGGTACATTCAAATCAATTCGAAATGTATAAGACACGATAAAACTGCATGTTTAGGTCTTCGAGTGTCAAATGATGATGGAGAAGTAACATTTGACACTGTGTGCCTGGGCTAGTACGTTGGGTACACCTCTCATACAGGTGAATAGATACAGTTAGTGTCATGAACTGATGGATATCCTTTCACGCTTAGGTCAATTGTATTTCGATGATTCACTTACTGATCAAGTGACGTCTCGCTTACCTTACAGTACTCACAATGCTACACGTATAAGAAACGATGGTGATGGTATTTTCACTGATGACGGCGGAAATTCTTCGGTTTTATCCGTAACATTCATTGAACGAAATCTTAGGTTCGATGGCAGTGTTGTTATCCCGACCCAGTCGAAGGTGGAGGTGGTCCACCATCGGTAGAATCAGATAGCAGCACCAATCTACCAACATCTACCTTAAAGGCACGAGGAAATGCAGGAACAGTCGTTAATTTTACTGTTGTTTTATTCTTTTTCTTCTGTCAATATAATGTCTCGAATACAGTATTTTCAGCAAGCGCGTACAGAAAATAAATATTCTGTTTATTTCACGCTCTCATCTGTTGTTTTGCGCAACTGTGGCTTCGTCTTTGGTACTCCTGGTGGCAATGGATTTCCTGAAAGATCTTGCCAGGGAAAGACGCGAAGAGATGGGTCACTCGTAGTACGATAAGCACAGAGTCCCAGTTGTTCGATGTCACGATCGACCATCGTCCAGTTGTAGTCAAAGAAAGGATTGTGAGCATTGCCTAAACGATCGAAAACTCGTCGGCGTTCTTCGAACGATAAGCGTAACCATGTTCGAAATACAGGACTACTACTGGTATTTTCAACACCACGATGAACAGTGTAGCAATCCATTAAAGTAATTTCAGCAGGCTGTGGTTGCCATCGATGAACTTCATTTGTATCTGCAACCTGCGCGTTCATTTCCCAGAAGAAATCGTGAATGCATTCATCGAGAAGAGAGAAATCGAAAGGTTGTATGTAGTAAGCAGTAGGTAAAACATCGGAAACCGTATATGTGTGATTGATTCGACATTTCGGATTCCATCGTGCACCTTGAAATCCGTCCACATGGCAAGGTGCTTCACGTTGAAGCGTGCCAGGTTTCACCCAACGTTGGTCAATCGTCAAATATGCATAATAATCAGCGTGTTGCGGATTGATGCGATGTTCGACATCGATAATTCGCTGAATAACACCAGTAAATTGTGAGAAAGTGCGGGGTAACCGGTATTCATCACAGTCAGGCATTTTAATAGGCATATCCAACACGCGCACGGCGTCTGGTTTTGTATAGGCATTCAACTCATCAGTATTCAGTATACCAAGCGATATAGGATGCCGTGGACATGAAAACTCTTTTAAATTCCAAATTGAGTTAATACAGCGCAATATTGGCGAAGTATTCGGTAACGAAATAGCACTGGCACTTGCTTTCAATATAATTGGAGGCGCATTGTCGTCAAAAATAGGCACCTCGTAGTTTTTTCCTCGATAAGCAAACGTATCCATGCGCAATAATCCATCTGCTTTTTCCATTTTGTACTTTCGTTGGTTGTTCAAAAGCTGTATTCTGTCGAAAGCGAAGGAAGTAGTGCATCCGATCAAGAATCGCAATTGCGTCAATTGTTGTCCTTTTTAAATAGCGACGACGTTAGAAGACGCGTGGAAATAAACGTGTTTTTTCTCTTTCTACAGGTAAGACATGATGAATACGTCATAAACGAAGTATAAATAGACGTAAATGGGAGATTAAAATAGAATTTCCGATGAAGGAATTAATTTATCACTTAATTCCTCCAAAAAGAGTTATTCTCTTTTGCTAAAACTTCATTGTTATAAGTCTCCATGAAAACAACCTTGCACAGTAAAATATTCACTTTGACCGATGGACGATGAAAGAATCGTAAAGGATACTGATGTTCTCAAAAGACCGACGCGAAAAGATCAATCCAGTACCACTGTAGTCATTCGCGATTGATACAAACAATATTTTCTAAAACCAAAGCGTATAAGTGAGCATCATGAATCTTGCAGGAGAAAAACTTACGTTTTTTTAAAATTATAGTGCAAAGCAAAGGTTTCGGAACAGTAGAACAGTATCCTGAAACATTCATTTAGCTTGTTTGTGCGCCTAATCAAACCGTTTCTAATGATTCTAATGCCATGCATGAAAATCTGTTCGCTCGATATTTTTTGAGAAATCTCGGATGAGGAAATGTTTGTATTACTGATTTTTTTCCAACAGGTAGTCGATGATGGCGCTCACCAAACGAATGGAAAACTGGCTTTTTTAAATAATCTGATGAAATTTTCAGAGACTGCGATTAATGATTGTAACAAACGTTATTCTTCATGTGAAATAAGCAGCCACGATTGCTTTGTCATGAATGTTGACATTTTCAAGACATAGAGATAAACTTTTAGGATTTCTCGTTTCTCTTTTGTGTAAAAAGTACGGTATCTTTTCTATTGGTTTTGTTACATGACTTTAGTTTTTGTTCTTTGATGTTCAATAGAAAAATAGTCGATTACTTTCATATTTATCGATATTATACAAACAGCATTCTATTTGGACTTTACAAGCAACAAACGATCACTCGAATATTATGAATACACACTTCATATTATCTACACGTTTTTTTTCTTCACTACTGCCACAAACAGGTGTATTGAAAGATATATAGCAGAATACAATACTACTGAAAATTCTTTTGACGGACAAGAGTTTGATCTTCGAAATTCAGACGCCAACTCACAAGAAGAAATCCAAGATCCGTGTTCTATCTATCTTGGATTTAGTCAGCAGTTCTATTGTTCTCTACGTGGTGAGACTGTACTATTCAAAAGATAGGTGAAGATATTAACATTTCTCCTGAGCTTCTTGGTAGTCATCCTTATTGTATCTTCTATGCGTCATTATATCAACACCTATGGAGAACCGGATACTACATGCGCGAATAGATGGATAAAAAATGTTCTGATGGTTCTGAGGATCTTTTTCTCTTGTCGAAAACTATATCAAGCTGTGTATTCTTACAGAATGTGAGCGATGTCAAGAGTTCTACAAAAGAACTTTTAATTATTTAACATTCGCGTAATAACTCACATTCGTTGTCTTTCACCTCAAACTTTGTACAAACAAATAAATCAGTAGTTCATCGTGTACAAGTGACGAATAAGCACACCCTCACCCTTAACGATCTTTATATATGCTGGCATGCATTACTAACTGAGGAAGCAAAACACATAAAATTAACGATCCAATCGAAAGAGAAAGCCAAGTTATCCGATAAATTAATGGATCCAATGCATTTGAAGATATCCAAAAGTCAACTAGGTATACAATAGTTGGAATGTTCATGAGACTCAGTAGGAAAATCATAATTATAATACGATGAGTGGCTTTCACGTCTTTGCGATTGCGTAAAAACGGTAATTGTTTCGACGAGCGATGTCTAATCGTTCGGGTAATTTTAAAGTAACACGCCGAGATGATCATTATCGGTATCCAAACTTCTGCAACGGAAGCATAAACTACAGCGGTGAATTTGTCAAACTGAACTCCGCAATATGTTTCGTTTGGTAGCAATGGATGAATTCCATTCAAACGGGTTATAAGAGGAATAACAATAGCGAATGAGATCATCCATTGAAGAGGAATAAACAGAAAGAGATAGATTTTGATATGATTAATCCATGAATTCATTGGGTAAACAACGCGAATGAAGCGAAAAAAGACTTGCAGAGCGTAACTCCAAAACACGCTGCAAATCACCGAAAAGAATACATAACCACAGAAACGACAAGCCGGTGAATCATCTCTCCATCGAAATGAGTTCATATTCAAATCTGAACATAATGTTGAGACGTTTACATGAAGAAATAAGACGATAAACATCAATATAAATGCACACAATGTATTCAATATTAAATGCAGCGCAATGCGTTCATTCGGTCCGATATGCATAGTCACCAATCGATAGACAATTAGAATAAACAGAACTAGACTGTTAGTCAGTGCTATTAGGACAATAACAGCAGAAACAATATTGATTGATATAGCTAAAGTTGTTGTTGAATTGGACATTGTGTGTAACTCCAATATTGAATTTCGATATTGGTAGAAAGTAAGTTAAAGTCACATCATTTATGTTCTGAAGCGTGAAGGTTTGTGTAATTGGAAAAGTTGACAATAGATTAGTCGATAAGAAAATGACACGGAGAAAATATATTATTAAACTTCTCTTCTTCTTTTCTCGCTAACACGCAACTTTTTGCCTATTCTCTCCACATGCTTCAGATCGAGTGGAGTCGTTGACTTGATCGCAAAAGAGAACATATATGATTACGCTCAACAAAAAGTGATCCGACAAATCAAGTGTCAAGAAAATGAGTTAACGCATTCTAATAAGAGTAGTACGTTTGTATTTCCATACATCCATCATCTTCCTGACAGACTTTGCCTTTCTTTTTATACTCCTAGCTGTTCGGTTAAGTGGCTTATTTTTCTTCTCGCTCTATAATCTTATCAACAGATAGTTCCGCTCTAAGAGAGAAACTCTCTTCTGAAATGAAGAGCACTTCTACCGACGTGAAAAAATGCCGAATAAATCTCATACAGGAAATGTTCATTTCCCAATAATTATGACAACAAAATAATTGAGGTAGCATCAACTCACGAAAAGAAATTATATTTGAAGCGTGTAGACAAATACAGCTATGATTTTCTTTCTTACAATTGCGCACCGAATGGAAGCGTCTGTCATGAGTTTCAATTTAGAATGACAGCATTATGAATATTTATATTATGATTCTAAAAAGCTCAAATGAATGATACTTCATCGATTTCCGACTGGAAATCGTCATGAATTGAATTACAAAATATTTCAGAAGTATGTCATATAGTTCTTTTTTTTTCATTCATCAGAATAGAAAACAAAGTGAAGTTTTCGAGACAGTTTAAAACGCTGATTGATAATCTGGTTTCATAGGCTTTGTTTCGTAAGGTGGTGCTGAATAAGGTGTTTGCATTACGATTCTAGGTTGCATTGATATTTTGTAAGGCATTGCTGCTTGAGGGATCATTGCCAACGCATTATGAAAGGATTGGTGAGAAAATGTAAATACTTCTGAACCGAAAGGGCCTATCAGAGTGAGAGGCATACCGTTTCTGGTTGGATTCACTCTTGTGCTGATGCTGCTGATGTCAGATAGGAAGAGCATTGAATCGATATAACCCTGCGAGCAGCAACCGCAGCATGAGTCTGCTCGTCGTTGGATAATTCTTGCATTAGTTAGTGCAACTGTATACTGCGATCCACAGCCACAACGACGGTCATCGCATTCATAAATATTGGAAATTCTCTCTTGAGGCGCGAGAGCGAAGACAGTGTTGAAACTATCCGGCTGTTCGGTGATATATCGAGACGGATTATTTGTCCTGTTAATACAATACGATACGTGAAGATATCACAAGAGGTTTTAGAATAACATGAAGTGTTTTCTCATCTCTCTACTTGACACTTAGTACTTTCGAATATTTTATTGTCCTTGGATATGAGTAAAACTATTTTGAAACGTCAATGTTCCTAAGATTATCTTTGGTATAGCAAAGCGAACGTTTTTTTTTCTAGAACAAACTGTCTGAGACTGTATTTCACCAATTGTAATACTCACATTTTGTAGTCGATTATTTGTCGAAGACGTCGAACTTCAACATCCTATTTATATGTATGCGTCTAGGAAGAAGAGAAAAACACAAGTTTATTACCTATTATCTCCATAAAGTATGTCGTCTGTTTTCGTTTTATAGACAAATAATTGATCAAGCATATTTCAAGAAACGATATATTGTAAGTGCTCAATTTTCGGATTAGTCTAATTAATCAAGAGAGATAGGATAACAATTAGTGTCGTGAATTTCTCTTCAGTTTTTACATAGACAATATTTACTTCGTGTATGAAGTAAGAAAAGATATTGAAATCACGTTTATGATCATTTGTTGTATAAGTATCATATATGATAAAGAGATTGTATTTGTTTCATGTCGTACTCATAGTTGTGCGCCTGAAATATCAAGAGTAGTGTCGAGCATCAAACAATAGCCCGATGCGTCATTATATATCCGTTGCGTTCTATGCAATACTTTCGTATTTAATGGAAAAGACTGTGATGACGTTTATTGCAATAAGGAAAGGGAATGTTACAAACTCCACGCTCCGGACCCTGCATTGACTTTGCCCGTAATATTCTTCGTTTTCCATCCACCGTAAAAATCGCCTGGTTGTGCTTCAACTTTCTCGTCGTTAACATAACAATCCCATGGTCCGACATAAAAACTAAAATAACCTTTGACACCAATATATTTTTCATCGCTTCCAGTTGGATTTTCATATGACCATATTCGTGCCTTTACAATCGGTTGATTATCCGGCGGAATGAAATCATAATATGATGCTAAACCTTTATATCCGCAGTACGATGTCTTGTCATTGCGATTGAGATACTCTTGGTTGACATCTTCTGGAGGAATATAGTACGTCGGAGGATGGCTGGTTTCTATGATACGCATTGCTCGGGTAGTGTCCGCTAGTACGATTTGATTGAAGATGACTCGAAGACGTGCTTGAACAGGTTCAATTTCTGGTGGACGTGGATAATCCCAGACATTTTCTTGAGGAAGATTACTTGCCATGATTGTAACTCAGAAGAAGAAAATTTGAATTCAGAGAAGTAGTGTCTTTGACTTTAGCTTCAAAAGGATGTCAATGATGGAGAAGTCGTTTTTTCATAACTACGCATTTTCTCTAACTCTTTTTTAGTACGTGACATATTATTTTCTCACTTCGATTCACTCTAGCAATTAGTCTCCGATAGAAAGAAAGAATATATCATCAAGGTTGGTTATTTGTAAAGCATCGTTTCAGTAGTAAAAGAGAAAAGCTCAGCAGGGATTTTTAATATAAAACCAGTAATTTATTATTACTGTATCCGTATAGCATATCAGCAATCAAAATAATAAACATCTTAGAAATAAGGTTTTACGAAAATTGCAGTATAAATCAAACTTTTGTACTTTGAGATTTTCTGCAATGACCGTTAACTATATCGAACATGCTTGAAACGTTTCTTTACACCGCAAGGTAATGCAACTACTATCCGTTATCGACTGAATCCATGAGAACATCGATTGTAAGAGAACTGGCAATTGTATAAGCAACGAATTCATCATTGATCTTGTCTTCTCTTCTCTTATCCAAACAGCAACTCTATGACGGTTTATCTTAGCAGCAAACCATTCTGGCTGTGTTGCTGAATTGAAATAGTCTTGCAAATCGTTCTCAGAATATAGAATAGCGAAATCTTCAACAAACATTTTTCACAAAGTTGAGATAATGCATCAAATATCAGATAAATTCGTTCGACGGAGAATGAATTGACTGTCTGTTTACGTTCCTTAGTGAATAAGAAAATTGTGTGATGGTTTCTGCACGCTTCGAACACGAGAAAAAAGAATTTTCGTTCTTATCAGTATTTATTTAAAATGGAATCCAAACAACAAAGGATATAGGTTTATCATTGCTCTACTTTGTTTTCTGTCGTACTGTTCGGAACGAACGTTTCTACATTATCTTGAATTCTTTCGTCAAAAAAGTGCTTTTGCATGTAACGGCCAAAACGTACAAGGAAGAAGACATTATTGTCATCTTGTTGTAGCGATTGATCTTGACGATATTGTAGAAATTTTAACAAACGCGGTCCACGTTGTTTACTTCTATGTGAACGACAGCATGTCATACGATTAACGATCAAACGTAGTTGGGCACGAAGGATTTCGTAGTCTGAGACGAGATTATACATCATCTTATGACGCCAAACAATGCTTTGATCTTTTAACGAAGGAATTTCACCCACAGCGATACCTGTACAGAAAATATAGAGAGCGATTGAATCTTTTTTGATAAACGAAAGCTTACTGATCATTAAATTCACCACGAAAATACAAAAGACAATACCAGTAATTAGAAACATGAAATAAAGTATGGTATAATATCCAACATTATTAGGATCCTCATTATAAAGTCGATCTTCATATCCGAGATCGAACATCATTAAACTCGTACGAATCAACGCCTCTATTGGCGTCTTGTATACCGACTGATTTTGTAGCAACATCCAATAGCTAAAACCAAATCCACAGATAATTGTCATTAAAACAGGCAAGAATTCCAGAAATTTTAGAAGAAT